TTCCTCCCTCTCTCACAGGAAAATAAAAGATATCCGAAATGAAAATTCAGAACGTGCTGTAAATACCAAGAAAGTCAAAAAGGAAGAAGGGAGAGTCTATTTCAAAAACAAAATGCCACGTGACACATACACAGGAATGTCTGAGAATTCCTCGAGGGCATCCCGCCTCCCGTCCCGCTGACAGTGGTGCTCATCTGTGGACGCTGCACAAATGAGGGATGGACAAACAGATTCGCAATGAAGTAAACGCTGCAGAAGCGCAGGCTGCAGTCTGGGCCGAGATGCTGACCAGCGGGCCCGCTGCCTCTGGCTGGGAGCAAGACTCCTGGCCAGGTGCCCAGTCTTTCCTCAGGGCTGCATAACTGCCACCCCCAAGGGCACACGCGGTGGGGGCAGCCACCAGGGCGTGAGGTGTGAGGCTTCGCTGTGTCTTCCTAGACCCAGTTTCCCTTTGCTTTGATATCTTCACGAGCAGAAGAGATGACTTGTCATTCTCGGTCCAATGCATGCTATGCTACTAATATAAGTGAATGTATTTTCTAGTTAATCACGGATTACCGAGGGGTTTGCTCGCTTCTGCTAAAATTACGATAAATAAAATATTTGAATACAGACAATACAAAACTGTTTTTCTTTACGTTTCCTGATACTTAAATATCTCTTCCCCCGTGCTACTAAGGGATTCCAGATTCCCTCAATAATCCCAGATTCCAGAGCATCTTTTCTTTGGAAGCCAGTTAGGAAAACAAAGACAGAGAAGAATGGGAAGAAAAGTTGCTGAGAGCTGCGGTGGGGAACCCATCCCAGAGCGGAACTGGACAGAATCCCTCCCTCCTCTGCAATACGCTCCGCTCACAACGGGCTCCTTCTCCTCCTGTTCCTCGCCCCATGCTCTCCCCCGCCCTTGCCCTTGCTCCTTCCTCCCGAAGAACTCAGTGCCCTGCCTTCAGCATGGCAAGGAAAAGCATCTGCACCCACGAGTTCGGGGGAAGCTGAACTCTCCCAAAGCGACGAAGCTGGGCTGGGCGCCAGGAGCGTCTACAGGGGAGAAAGTCAAGCACAGGGGAGAGAGTCCCTCCGTGCTGGGGGAGGGGACACGCTCACTCAGATGGGGCATCACAGCCCCTGCGGCTCGGGGGACGGGAAGCGGGGTGCAGTGAGAAGGCACCAGTGTGAATGGAGAGGTTGGCAAATGCGATCAGAGACAGGTTACGTACAGGGACTCATCAAATAAGTCAATATATTAAGGATCCAGGGGGCTAATTTTTTTTTTTTAATATTGGTCAAGGGAGCCATAACAGAAAGAGAGAAAACTGGCATGAAATCCACACTGAGTTGGGAATGAAAATATTAGTGTGAAATCTTGAGTTTAATAAATAAGTGTGTGTACACACACACACACGCACACACACACAGGTGTATGTGTGCGGGCCTTGCTTTGGGAGTTCTGACACCCCAGTGACAGGACACAAAGCCCAGATCTTGCTTCTAGATGCCAATCTTTAGTAAAAGAACCGGGGTCCTTGGAGAAGGTTTGATTTTCGGGTTGGGGCAAGGAGGGGACAGGATGAACCTGTAACGTCTTGTGGTGCCAAAAAGCGGGAACGGGACGTATCAAAAGGATATTGAAGCCAGCTTGAAGGGTGCCCACTGGACAAATCCGAGGCCATATGGGCAGCAAAGTAAACAGTGAGCAATGGTTTATACTCTACAGAATAGAATAGAAAACACAAGACTGTGTGGCTATAAATAAATGAATGAAACAGCATGTTTGCTTAGTCTCGAAGTACCTCTGCACAAACACGCACTAATTAGAAAGGGGAAGAGAGTAATTGCGAAGTGGAAATGCCCAGCGGCCAGCACCTCCTCCTGACGACCGCGTGAGTAGGGACGCGAAGCGGGGTTACGGTTAGGCGCCTGCGGACCCATCCCCTCGTCCGTGGCTCCTGCGGAGCAGGCAGAACCTCACCTCCTTCAGGGGGAAGCATCAAACGCCCAGACTGAAGGACGTTTACAAAGCAGCTGGCCTGCAACCTTCAAAAGAGCTACGATCCTAAAAGCCAAAGGAAGACTGAGGAATTGGTCCAGAGCGAAAGAGATCAAAGACACCTGAGTCACAGCGCAACGTCTGGCTCTCGCCCGTGCCCTTCTGCCGTGAAGGACGTTAACGGGACAGCCAGACGAGCTCCAGTGGCAGGAAGGCAGCAGGTGAGTCTCCCGGTTTCGACAGTTTCATTATACGGCCGTGCAGGAGAATGGTACTGCAGGAAATACGCGCTAACGCATTCGGGTGATGGGACGGCAGATTGGCAGCTGACCTTGAAGTGGTTTAGACACAGAAAATTCTCCGTACCTGAATCTACGACTTATTGGTAGGTCTGTGATCATTTCAAAATGAAAGTAAAAACGTATTAGGGATTCTACTTTCTGTTTAAATGTCTTAGGAAACAGCATCCATGATTTTAAACTATGAACTAAATTTCCTCGATTAGATGATATAACTGACTGAGAATGCATTCTACTTCAAGACGGATGCTGGTCAAACGAATTCCTGAGAACAATCAACTCTGACGCTCGACACAAACGGAGACTAGGGTTTCTTACTAAGCCAGTATTTTGGTTAACAGACAAGTGCCACATGCTGTCAATGGATTGCCAACGTTCAATATACGTTCAAAGTGAAACAAAAAAATTCTTCATATGGATCCGCGCTAAATAAAAGGCACTCTTTCATGAATGGTTTAGAAGACAGGGTGATATCGACCATCACAGATGGATGAGTGACCTCTTTCTCCCAGCCCGAGACCCCTTACTTTAAATAGTTTTGCTTTAAACAATTACGCCACAACAATATGACCACATAGTCCGTAGCATTCTGACTTACACGCGCTTTATATCAAAAGAATTCGACAAAGTATTTTTCTCACATCGGACATCAGTGTTATTTTTAGGTTACAGTTCCAGCTCTTTTGTACATTATTTGGATGTTTACCTAGGAACCTTCCATTTTAAATCTGCTGGCTTATTTCGCCTCTCCTAGCTGTTGAAATCCCTTGTAAAATTATTTCTGAAGGGATGGAAAACCTGACTTTCTGTTTTGCTGTTCCTTTCAATGCTATTCTTATATAAAATACTACGAAATGAAGAATCGTATTCTTCTTGCTATTCCAGGATTATCCTATCTCTGGCCATCCTCTGATAAGTCTTTTTCTTTGTTGGTTTTGGAAATTGAGAAATCAAAATTTAAGATTACATTCTTTCCCCCGATTCTTTTTACCAATGAAAGAAAATAAAAGCGCTTAAATAAAAACTCAATACGGTACTTGATGACCAAGAATACGCCACATTCTTTGCAAAGCACTTAATTTTTTTTAAATCCCATTTGATCCTTATAGGCAGGTTTTATAATCCTCATCTCCCAGAAATTTTTCTATTACATCTGACCCAGCAGACACTTTATTGATTTATGAAGGGGCAGAAGAGACGGGTACGAAATGTTCAAGAAATGCATTCGAGGGGGACCCAAGCTGAGAAGGCACTGGCCACCGTCAGAATTGTTGCTCTGTGAGGACTTTCCTGCGGTGATTTTCATAATGCCAAGCGGCAGAAACACAGCCACCCCCCAGCCCTGCATGAGGTCACCTCCGGCTGAACTTAATAGCCCCAATAAGGGCGGTGGAAAGAGAAATGTCCCATATGTATCCTTAAGGCGGGGAAAGGAGGCAAAAGCTGGGCCAGAGCTCATGCGGAAAGCAATGTCCCTCCCACCTCTTCCCAGGCATCATTCGATTGTTTCTCCCTTTAATAAAACACGCACCTTCGTTCTCTCTTTTAATCAGCTACCAGCCCCCATCTGTGTCTGGGTGTGCAGGTCACTGGTATGTGTCTCAGGGGACGCACGGACTTAAAACGCGGCTTTCCCCTGCTTCCCGGGAGTGGACGCTCCTTAGTAACACCCGAACCAGTCAAAGTGAAGCTGGAGCCCAGTGTGCAAATCAGGGCCACGGCCTCCGCAGGCACTTGGCGCCCACAAAGACGGCTCACAAACGCAGGCCTCTCAGGCTGCTCTTGGAGGATGCTGAGTGATGAGGGCTGGGAGACGGATGCTGAGAACAGTGGTCCCTGGATGGCTTCCCAACTGAGAGACATCACTACAGACCCATGGGTCGGCCTGTTGGTCCACCTCACGTTTCCAGCTAAAACACCCCACTGAGCACATGACAAACCCCTCAGACCCCACAGGGCTCAGGCGACCCACGTGTGAATTCCCCTTTTCGTGGGCCATGCTGCTCGTCACCGTTTCTCTCGGCCCCTCTGCAGTTTACTACATGGCCACGTTTCTTACATTTGATTTCGACAGGGCAAAATAAAACACGTTTTTCTACAAGTCACGAAGAAGCTGTTAGGAATAACTCCAAACCCCTGACCTTCATGTTTACAGATGCACGTAACAGAAAATCAAACTGTTTTTCAAATGCTTTTAACTAATTAAATGGGATGGCTTCTTTGAAATACCACTTATTAGTAAAGCCAAATTTGCTGTCAGAGCATTTTAAATAATTTTTTAAAAAATATCCATGGACGTGCCAGAAGATTAAAAATGGAGAAATCTTTTGTCCTGTCTCAAGAGGGGGGTTTGGATATCGAAGTAAAGAGAAGTGGGGAAGAATTATGAATTTAATTGTATAACTTATTCACTCTAAAAATAAGAGCGCTAAATTATAATGTATAATGAGAATAGCTTTTAACCATCGAAATCACACCACCACTCAGCAATCAGCAAAACGGAACTGCAAGTTCCAGCTTTCCTGCTGCTAGCCGCTAAGTGACTGTTGACCCCACTGATGGGGGTGGGGGTGGCTGTGTGGCTGGCGACCCACTCGCAACTCTCAGCATCAAGGTCAGAGAACAGAACTCGGGCACCTGCCAGGTACCAACAGTCACACCCTGAGCAGGTGCGTGGCACCTCACGCACTCTAGAGGGACGTGGAGTCACCCACCTGCCAGACCAGGTGCTCCTTGGCCCCGGGCGTTGCAGACAGGCAGACGCTCAGCACGATGGTGTGGGAGGAAGTCGTGAGCACGCTGGCGATGATGGCGTCTCGCATGCTGAAGGGCAGCATGGTGTACACCACGAAGATGATGAAGAGGAAGAATGACACCTGCGGGCAGAGGAGAAGAACAGCGGGAGTCACCGAGATGCCCGACCCCAAGTGCCCCCTGTCTTCTTCCCATTAAAAGTCGCGTGCACCGCGCCCGTCCAAGGAATAATACCGCGACGGAACGAGACAGCACGTGCAAAGAAGTCCACTAGACTACGATAAAGATCCAGCTATTGCGATGGAGAAAAGTTATTCTTGCTCAAAATTTGGGGATTTCCAGCTTTGGTATCCAAACCTTTGCGGACGTTAGGTTAATCTGAGCACTTCACGTGTATGGACGCAGGGCTGGTCCTCAACTCTCAGGATTTGGCATCTGAGCTTTAGGGCGCACATCTGCATTCTTTATCTATGGACAGGTTTTGGACACCCAGAAAGGGTGGACAGGTACCATCTGGAGGAGTTAGTGAAAGTAGATGGATACGAAGGGCGAGGACATGTAATAAACAACAGAAAACAGCTTAGTGATGGTTTAGCTGTTGTGAATACAGTCGGGCAGTTTCTTAAAACATTAAACGTAGAACTACCACATGACCCAGCCATTCCATTCCTTAGCGTATATCCTAACGAACCAAAACGGGTACTCAAACAAATACATGCACGCGCATGCTCAAAACAGCACCATTCACAACAGCAAAGAGGCAAACAACACAAATATCCAACAACGATGACTGAATAAACGGCACTGAGTATGTCCACACAATGGAATACTATTCAGCCATGAAAAAGAATGACATTCCGATACACGCTGTCACGTGAACGAGCCTCGAAAACATTATGTTGTGTTATCAAAGCTAGGACAAAAGACCCTCTATGGTAGGATTCTGTTTATATGAAATACCCAGACTGATCAAATTTATAAAGACAGAAAGCAGACAGGTGGTTCCCAGGAGCCGACCAAGGGAGAAATGGGAAGTAACTACTGAATGGGTACAGAGCTTCCTTTCCGGGTGATGACACGCATTTTGGAAGTAGACAGAGACGGTGGAGGCACAGCATTGTAAATGTCACTAAATTCTTCCCTTTAAAACGGTTAATTTATGTTATGTGAGCGTCATCTCAAAAAAAAAAAATCCATATGAAACAGCGAAAACTTTGGAATGGAAAAGAAAATGGTTTGATAGGGAACAAACCAGGCCATTTTCATTACCAAAGAAGCAAAGACAGAAGAACATCCACATGAATCAAAAGGTAATAAAGCTAGCGGGGGACGTAGGGGACGTGGCATTTGGCGAGCTTTGCCACACAGCTCTTCACGCGAAAGCAAACGGGAAGCTGTGGGAATAGCTGACCCCCTTTCGCAGCTCCTGTCACTTTTGGGAATCCCGGGTGTGACCACAGCAGGCGGGACACGGAGGCCCTGCGCTGTCCCCTCTGCAGGGAGCCACAATCTGTGTCCACCAGACGGGTCTGGCCAGAGGCTGTGCTCCCAGTGGCTTCAGAGAGAGGGGCTCTGGGCGGACACCGGGCTGGTCTCCCCTCCTGAGGTCCCCGGCAGCTGTGCCACGTATTACAAGTGAAAAGGAACTGCAGATTCTACCGAGCAGAGCTCCTCGGTCTCAGCACTGCTGCCGTTCGGGGCCGGTTAATTCTTGGTGGAAAGCACCTTCCCGCATTGCAGGAAGTGTAGAGGCGTCCCTGACTTCCAAGTGCTAGATTTCAGTAGAACTGCCCCCTTCAAGTTGTGACAACTGACAGTGTCCAGCACTGCCGAATGTCTTCCAGAGGTAAGGTCGCCTCTGGTTGAGAACCACGGAGCTATAGAAAAAGTTTCTTTTGAGAATGAAAAAATCTGTTGTGTAGTCGTGGCTTACTAGAAAACTCAGTTTTCTTTGGAATCCCTAATATCCAGCAACTTTATAGAAAATATTTCCAATTAAGGTATTATTTCTATACACAGCATTTATGCAAAACCTTACATCCCACAAGAGGTATTAAATAAATATTTTCAGGTATCAGAATTCACAATCAGTTACAAAGGAAAACCTCTCGTTTACAAGTACATATATTTTTCTTCTCCTATAAAAAACTTTAATGCTTCTTTGCAATGATCGTAACTTTCAAACGGCTTAATTGTGAACAGCTCTAACTTTATTTCAATTAGGAGCCACTTCTGCCACCATTCTGAACTTTGAAATGGAAGCATGTGGAAGTCTCATTTTCAGTAACCAAACGGAGAAGGGAGGTTCCCTGCTCCACCAAGACTCCTGTTAAGTCTTCCTCTTTAGTTGACAAAAGGAATTTTTAAAGGTCAGTTAAGCAAGTCACATTCACTTGAGTTTGGGATTTGATTGGCGGCATTGCTGGAGCTCAGCTACTGGTGGCCGGGCTGCGTTCCACAGGCTGGACAGGGCAGAAGAGTTTCAAGTCCCACAGGAGAATGCTCCTTATTTATTAATAAATAATCCCAGAAGGCTCATTTTTTTAAAGCTTTCTTTCCAAAGCAACTTCAAAGAGGGCCATGTGTAAAAGCAAAATGGATTTGGCACATCTAAACGGTGGGTGGGTATAAAGCTCCAAAAAGTCGAATGTAGTTCCCTCGTTACCATGGGGACGCTTCAGTGACAGAGATTCCCCGCGGATGAACCTCTGCCCAGAGGCCGAAGAGAGAGGAGCCTTGGGTCTGATCATCGAGACCGTGCGCAGAAACCCGATCAGCGCAGGGACTGACGAGGTGGCACTCGGCCCAATAAGACAGTGTCTGGTTCCCTTCACTGTAGCCCAGCACTGGCTTTCTGCAAGACACATCCACTTGAACCTCAAGCTCCACAAGCTTCAAACCAGCTAAGAGCTTCTCCCCCACGCTCTTCAATCTATTCGTCTTGCAGAGTAATTCCGTTCTGCCCATGAGGTCTCCGTCCCCAAACAGCCCAGGCGCAAACCTTTGAGAAGCATCTGTGACAATGCTTTCCTGTCCACACTCGAAAACACCTTCTGACTCTAGGACTCGGGCGGGCCGCCTCTGTGCGTCTCTCCCTGTCCACGCTTCCCTCCACAGGCTCGTGGTCTCTCCGCTTGTTAAGGACTGAGCTTCCACGCTTTCCCTCATCTCACCCCTCCTTCTGTTCATGTCCCAACCATGACGCCAAAGCCTGCCCTTCCTCATCCTTGCCCACCCCACTTCATTCTCTATGCTGCCGGTAATCAC